AATTTCATGCATTGGGCCTCTAGTTAGGTTATAAATGACTTGAGAGCAGGTGCAAGAACTTACAATTTTAGAACATTCCATTGGAATGTCTACTACCTAGGTGGGAACACAGAGGTGCTTCACAAATGCTGGTTATCATTTTATGCTGCACTCCCTCTGAGAAAATGATGTGACCTGCAGAGGTGGAAATACATACAGGGAATCTCCCTGTAAGAGGAAGCTGGGAAATGCCATCAATACTAGTGGTTTTGGATAGGGTACTCAGAAAACGTAGGATGGATCATGCTGTTTGTTCACTCCTCAGGAATCCAAACTTGGCCAATTGATCCCAGAGAGCCTGATCCTCACTGCACAAGCCCCAAACTCTCAATTCTAACAAACAGCCATTTAGTGTGCACCGAAGTGGCTTCTAGGACACTGCTTTGTTGTTATGCATACAGAAACCAATTTTAGCCATCAGAAGGAAATCTGTCTACTATAGAGAATTGGTTTTATAGTCTATAATCACCTTCCAAATTTCCACCCCGAGTACTCCATGGCAAAAGGCATGCAGCTTAAAAAGACCAAACTTTTACACGTGTAGTCAGTGAGGAGGGACATACAGGGGCCAAATAAGACCAAGTCAGGAACTATTATTTTGTGCATAATATGAAGCCAATCATTAGCTCAAAATAGGAAAGATTGGCCTGCTGAAGACGGTTTGGAAATATGGACTTGCCTCTTAACTGTCATTAAAATGCTAGGGTGGCTCTCAAATGTGAAGGAAAAGGCAGGTACAGTATCTGAGGTTAATAACATGTTTTTAACAGAAGAGCCTTGGTGAGTCTCCAAGGCAATCTAAGGCTGTAAGTTCCCCCTAACCTATCTATATAATTTTAGCAGATGCTGTTGGAAAGGCTGTTTTTGAGAATCAGCAGCTACAATGTCATGAAAAGAATACAGTATAGTGGTCCAAATGTGCTTCCAGTTCTGCCATTAACTGGCTGGGTGACCTTGGGTAATCCTAGTCTTGGTGTAGAAAACAAGGTTAAGAACTTCAGACAAACCAACAGGCCTTTTTCACTGCTGTACCTCTAGTGTTTAGGATAGTGCCTGACAGCGTGGGTGTTGACTGAAAGAATCTTCATTCTGACACAAAATGACCTCAGGGAAATTACTCACCTTCTTTAAGCATCTATTTTCTTATTTATAAAATGGAGATGGTATTTATTTCATGGGACTGTGAGTTTTTAAAAATGTACATGAAGCATTTAGTAAGAATAAGTTCATAATTATCTACTATATGGTATTCCTTACATTTACATTTATTTCATTTCAGGGCATTTTGCTTTTGTCAGACACCTTCTGTTGCCTGGCCTGTGTAGCTCAGTGGTTGCATGTCGACCTATGAACCAGGAGGTTAGTTTCATTCCCGATCAGGGCACATGCCCGGGTTGTGGGCTTAATCCCCTCTCTCTCTCATCATTGATGTTTCTCTTCCTCTCCCTTCCTTTCTGAAATCAACAAAGATGTATTTTTAAAAAGGCACCTTTTGTGATGTGCAGCCAGCAAACCATTATCTCCAAGATCTACCCCCCAAACCACAGGGCTTAGCCCTAAAGACCCACATTTCTACCCAAGGCTTGCTTGGTTCTGTCTACATGTGTCTGCAACAGTTAACATGAAACACCTGGAGTTATGGGGTAGCTACAGGGAAAGCAAAGCTGTTAGAATGATGTGGATGTACTGATGACGATGTCAATTCAGGAGTTCAAAATGGCTTTCTAAGCATGTATGCATAACCCAAGGACAGAGCCAATAGTGTGGTGAAGGCCTGGGGGTGGGGTGAGATGAAGGGGATCAATGGGGGGAAAAGGGAGATATCTGAAATAAATTTTTTAAAAAATAGGCAAAACAACTTTCTAGTTTGTGGATCCAATGTCATCCTGCCTTTGAGGGTCTATAAGACAGATCTGTCTCCTTATTTTTTGCCCAAGTTAGTATCAGTATGTTTATTTAACTAGGCTTTGATTTCCTGTTTTCCTTGATCCTCACAATATTCATGCAAAACAGACAATATAGCATGATAGAATGAACATAAGGAATTAAGGGAAGCATAATGAGGGACTGAATAGCCTGTGAACCTGTTTCTCATTTATGAAATAGGAGAACAATGCCAACTTTGCTATAGGGCCGTTTAGGAGAAAATGTATGTAAGGCATCTAACAAGAAGCACTCAACAAGTTATAGCTCCTATTACTACCCTCATTTTACAAAAGGGAAAACTATGGCTGAAATATTGCTATCTTTCCACTACACCACACTGGCAATAAAAACAGGAAAATTCGGTCTTAATGGACAAGATCAAAATAAAGTAACAGTGAGAAACCTGTGGCTTACATGCTCTGACTTTGTGATTAAATGAAATTGTGTACTGACTTGACACAAAAAAAGGGCAGCTTTGCTCATAAGCATTCAACTGATTTGGTCCAGGCTATACTAATTTACTTCCCTAGGTAGATTTCTCTCTCTTGGGCAGAGGATATATTGCTCCTTTATGTGAACATTCTACTCTGCTTGGCTGTTTTAACAGTTCTGGCTTTGTGAGTTTCATTTTCTCCAAGGTGAACCACTTACCAGAAAACTGACAAATTGGGCATTTCACACTAGATCCTTAGGAAGCACCACTCCACAAACCCCACTCAGTTAGGGCCCACAGTGTGGCCCTTTCCTGAACTTGTGAATCTGCCACAAGTCTTACTGATTGTCCCTTATGTCCTAGGGTGCACAACTTATATTCTTGGAAACTACAGAAGTGTCTTGGTCAATGGCCTCAATCAACTGTGTCTGCAGGTCTTACATTGCATTGTACCATAATCAGGGATGGGAATGGGGATAGGGCTTTAAAAAATTAATGCTCAAGACATAATCCAAAGCTATTTTAGTCATAATCTCTATGGGGGTGGGGCCTCAGGTATTAGTTATTTTGTTCAATTTTTTTTCAGCCCTCCTCCCCCACCGCCCCCAGTGGCTCAGCAGAGCACTGTCTATTTTGTTCTCTTGAATCTTCTCAGTGATTCCAATGTGTATCAGATGGAAAGTGACATAAGTTGCAAGCCGAGACTAACAGAAGTTGAAAAATGGTATGGCCCAAGTGCAGTTTTGTTTTGTTTTTAACCCACATTTAAGAATATTGTAAATCAGTTACCAACATTTCAAATTGAATTAACAAAAAGTATATTTTACAGGTTCCTAATCAGAGCCCATTTGGCTGAGGAAAGTCTACTAAAATATATAGCTGGCTCTTGTCAATATCTGAGTTTGAGACTCCTGAATTCATGTGGCATAAAGTTGTTTTTGATATTGTTGTAGCTGCTACATATCAATGTGTGATTGATTTATGCAGTAATTGGCCCCTACCCTAAATGGCCTAAAATGCCTATCTATGGTTTAATCATAATCTGAAAACTGCCTTTCAAAAGAATCTACTATTCCCCCCCCCCCAAATGCTACTGACTAGAGAAAGATTAACAGTTGTCTTGAAAACTAGATTTAATTTGACAAAAAAGCAAAATGGTAAAAGTCATCTTACTGTTTACTCTTACAGTAGGCACAATTTGATTAGTTCCAGTTGAGCCCTTCCAAGTTAGTTATTTCATCTTGGGTAATTATGAGAAGAAAATTCTATAAAACCAGAAATATGCCAAAAAAATCTGAAAAAAATAAAAAATAAAAAATCTGGAGGGCCCGCACTTTTTTTTGTTTCCAAAGGAGCCAAGATTTCCCCAAAATGCTCACTACTTATAATCTTAAGGCTCCTCAGGAGAAATGCTGAGAACAAATAGATAACAGCTGTTCTGTTTTACCAGTTACAAAAAAATTCTGTAACAAGTTCTAGATGACTATTCAAAATTCTTTACGTTGGAAATTCATTTGAACAAATAACTAGACCAACAACTACAAATTACTTGGCCATTATTTATCAAATCAAATGATGCCGAACCACTTACTCAACTACCTCATGTGACAATCTTCTCATGAGGATTGTCCCAATCAGCAAGATGGGAAGGACTATTCATCTATGCATGCCTGGTTTCTTTGGGCAAAACAGAGCCACATTAGTTGCAAACTGCAACAAATTAAAGATCAGAGATAGTATATAGCATTCCTCTAACAGCAGCAGCAACAGATATTTATACATATATTTTGAGAGAGAGAGAGAGAGAGAGAGAGAGAGAGAGAGACTTTGATGCGGTTTAATAGCACGCCACTAGAACCAAGACCAAGAACCCCCTTTCCTGGTACTGATTGCTAGTTAGGTCATTCTGAGACCAGATTAAGAAAATGTGATGCAAAGAGGTAATACAATATTGACCAAATCCCAGATAGAAGAAATTGTGAAATCTTGAACAAGGTACTTAAATCTTAGTGAGCCTTATTTTCTTCTTTTGTAAAAAAGCAATTCCTAACCCAGATGCTTTACATCAATTAAAGTGCTTTGAAGATAAAGTGATAAACTCTCATAATTACAGATCCAAATAAGATCAAATTAAATTGTCCTAAAATCTGGACTTGGCTAGAATATCAATGACAAAGATCTCCAACCCAGGACCTTCTTTAAGACAACTCTCTCCATCCCTGTGGAGATATCAGCTTCGAAGAGTGAGCTCAATGGAAATAATGAGTTTTGAGGTTGAGAATAACTTTTAAAATATTTTATCTTTAAAAAAACTGACAAAGATATATTAAGCATCTACTATGTATCACTGTTACAACACAAACAGCAATCTAAATTCTATGTTTAAGACAAAGAAATTGAAAAGCTTTCAGAAAATGCTCTGAAGGCTTCATTAACCAAGTTAATTGTTGGGGATGGTCTCATTCACAGTTCCTTGCAAAGAAACTAAACCAAATCTTAACATTATATTAAGTAGGAACAGTGAATAAGGCACATAATACAGGTGATGGTTAGACCACCAGTATATCCTTTTTTAACTATAAAAATAAACATAAGTAACTAATGGAATAACAAAATAAAAGTTTTATTTTATTAGAATTAGGAATGTTCTTTCCCTCTGGGCAACCTGAACAGTCCAGTTACAATGAAAAGCTAAGAACAGTTATTTCTACAGCACAGGATGCCTATGCACAAAATTACAGGGTTAGGAGCATTTAAATCAATTTAGTGATCTGATTGTCTCACCAACCCGCCCCTCCCATTTTCCAAGTGCTCTAAAACCAGGATTTGCAACTAAAAGACTTGGTTACATTGAGTTCTTTTCTCCCTGGTACTAAATTTCAGTTTCTAATCATGGCTGAATCATTTCACATTGCAGATTCAACCTTTTCAAATCAAGTCAGTCAGTCTTGGATCTGTTATATGTGTTTATGTATACACGTGTATTTAATATATATTTTTGAACACACATAAAACACATACAATCTGGGTTGCAGCAAATTATACAGAATTTAGTCTGATGATATTATACGCTACTCAGTTTTACCACTGTGGTTTGTGTCCTGAGCTTTGGATCAAAATTTTGTTGTAAATCATTTCAAGTACATCTACTATTCAATAAACTGTTCAAATGAAGCATGCACTTTTCAAGAGACAATGTAACTGTCCTCAATAAGACAGCGAGACCCTGGTGCTTACCATGAATAGAGCCCTCTTGATAGAAAGATTCAGATAAGAGAAATGGGGAAGCTGTCATACACTATGGCTTGCCTATATCCCACCTGCGGTAAAAGAAGCTACTAAAAATGAAAGCAATTAACTCAGGGAATACTGTCAAATATGGAGATAGTTGTTAAAAGATTGGAAGTAGAAAAGGCCAGTTTACCTTGATCCATAACTGCAATACTCTCAGATCATATGCCAACACTGAAACTAGAAAGCATCTCTAAAAAGCACTGTTCCTCCATGGGTAGGGGCTGATACTATGAAGTGCACAGTTTTTAGGTACTTGCAAGGGGAGCATGTAATGACACTCAAACCTAGATACTGCAGTTACCTGGTTAAGATTTTTTTTTAAAAACATCACATATACACAAAACATTTTGATTAAGGAAGCCACATATATCTAGATAGCAACTCTGGCTGCTTTTCAGTTACCAGGGAAAGGAACTTATTCAAGCTTGCTTTAAAAAATTTTTTTCCTTAGTTTGATAAATGCTTTTTAAGATTGATGCAGTCATTTAAAATAAAATTAAATGGGTTATGGGGGAAGAAAGGACATTGAAGAAGCAGACACTGAGTTCAGAATTGCACCTGAGGTGGCAAGGGAGAGAGGATTCAAGGTACAAGTAAAGTTGATTCTAAAGCGACAAGTGGTTTAAGGAAGCAGCATAATGTACTCAGCAAACATTCACTAATTTTTGATGGGATAAGAACAGCTGCAAGTACATTTCATGTAACAACCTTTTCTAAAAGGAAAAGTGGGTTGATTCAGCAAAGCCTAACTTAGGCAAAAGGCCAGAGGAAAGTGAACCTACTTCCCAATGGAGTAATAAGATGTACAATGCAAGAGCAAAGTTGCCTCACAAATGGTAAACATTCCCTAGGTGCAAGACATTTAAAGGAAGACAAAGAGGTCCTCAATCCAAATTGGTTCACTCTGCACTCCTGAATAAAACTAACAAATTTAGCTAGGGATGCTGACCTGTTGAAAATACCACAGCCAGAATGGCCTAAACAGGTATGTAATTAATAAAACCACCACCATCCTTTACTTTTAACATAGATCTTAGTAGAAATTTCATTAAAATGGACATCACAGCTAAAATGCATTATTAATTTTCCTATCTGTTGGCAACAGAAAAGAAGCAGTCAGTGATTTCTGTTTAAATGCACTAGATGGGAATATCATGTTCTAGGGGTGTTTGTCTTCAAACTGAACCCACAGCAACACACACAAGCAATTTTAGTATCTGCCATTTTAAATTCACAATCTGAAACTAAGTGAATGACTACTTATTTATATTTATAGCAAAAACATTCTATTTGACATCCTATTGTAAAGAAAGGGTGAGAAGAGCCATAACGAAAATCTTAAAAGGCTCAAAAGCAGCAATTAAAGAGGGGAAAATGAAATGTTTCCTTTGGATGAACAGGGAGCCTAGGAAGCTTTCACTGGCGTGCATGACATGAGGCCAGGAAGGGGAATGGGTATTCCTTGAACTGTAGCAACTAAGCTCCCTGTTGCAGCCCTTATCAAGCCACAGCATTGTCAGAGCTTGACCTCCTTGGCCCCGATCAAGCACTTGGAATTCAAGGCATGAGGCCCATGGCCAGCAACAGACATACCAAAACCAGAAAGGGCAAAGTAATCTCAGGAAAGGAAAAATCAAAGAGCTCTTATGCCTTCCAGAGGTGCCAAACCAACAGATTTTTTATCCCAACGTCCAACCCTGAAAAGATAAGCAAACTGAGAAAAAAATAAAAAAAGAAATAAAAAAAAGCACAGCAAATAGACATAATCTTGAAGATTTTTAAAGAATAAATATTTTTTTTTGTAATTAAACATTATGCAAACACGTGCCACGCTTGCTTTGTCCATGCATATGCGCTATATACAAATTTGAAAAATACTGTGTTGTCCTCTTGTTTTAAAAGTCATATACAAAGTTTTTTTTTTGTTTTGTTTTTTTGTTTAATTCCTCCTGTTGCCTATCCCCTTCCCACCCCAAGAATTTTCTTTACAAGGAACTAATCATCATTCACTCATTACTTTGGGGTATGAGAGAAAGAGCGTCAGTCTCTGAGTGTGGGTGTCTTTGTATGTGTAGGGGATGAAAAGGAAGAGGTTCTTTACCAAAGTACAACAAAAAGACCGGGCTGGGCATGAAAAGCAGTGTCAAATTTTAACTGTCATACACTCAGGAAAAAAAGAAAGAAAAAGGAGTCAGCTTTGAGAATGAAGCTACACGTTAAAGTTGGAGGGCTTTCAGTGTGGTTGTCACACTTTTGTTGGCGGCCTAGAATACTGTTGTACAATGGTTTATCTACCTTTTTTTTATTACAATATAATTTACTTAAATTTTCCTTTAACAAAACAGAATTCTGGTACTACAGACCAGCAGTGTCAGAATGGGCTTAGTGCCTCCTAGTTTGTGTTTGTTTTGTTTGTTTAAATTGCATGAACACTCTAGATGGTAAAGTTTTCAGAGTTCATTTTATGCAGGGCCACTCTCAGTCCTCAATGTACTCCCACAGATCTTTTTCATAGCCTTCATGCACATGCTGTAACAAAACCCTTCGTCGACTCTCACAGTATCTATAATCAAAGGGAAAAAAAAAATGTTGTCAGCCTCCAGTAATTAAACAACAAAAAAAAAAGCATTTACTTATTCTTTAGAGCACCCCTACATATTATCAAACTTGGAACAGGTAAGCACCTGTTTTTAGTAGCACATTTTCAGGTCTAGATGTAAAGACACAATAAACTATTTCTAATTTAAAAAAGGTATTTTTTAAAAGCCATGATTCCCAGTTTGGGGAATTAATTTTAAAGCAATAAAATGTTAAAAATTCCTAAGGACATTATAAACCATCTGATTCAATCCTGTCATTCTACCTAGAAGTAACAGTTTCAGGAAAAAGTAATTTTAAGGGTTTTTTTTCCACACCTATAAAATCTTTGTTAACTGTGAAATTACCATAAACACAATGTAGTAGGCTAAAAATATTACTTAGGACTAAATCTCCAAATTCCCAAAGGGTTCTACTACTACTAAAAAGATACTGCTAGCCCTAGCTGGTTTGGCTCAGTGGATAGAGCATTGAGGGTCCCAGGTTTGATTCCAGTCAAGGGCACATGCCTGGGTTGCAGGCTTGATCCCCAGTGTGGGGCGTGCAGTAGGCAGCTGATCAATGATTCTCTCTCATCAATGATGTTTCTCTCTCTCTCCCCCTCTCCTTTCCTTTCTGAAATCGATAGTAATAAAAAAAGATATTGCTATCTGCCAGGAATCAACTTTGGCGTGGGGGTGGGGTGGGGGGAGGTGGGAAACTCCATGTAGAGAAAGCAAACATTTTATATTTTTAGCTTAAGAGTATCATATCATGAAATACCATCTACCCCTGGGACAAAGTAAATCTCTCCTTAGGGGGTAAAAAAATCTAATAAAAACTCTAAAGTAGTTCACTTGTCAGCAGCAGCCATGATCCTCAGGATCCCCAGGATATGACATGCTAATCTCACCACTCATCCTAATGGCCACTTGTCCCTTTCAAACTTTTCCTTGCAGGGCAGCAATAAAGTTGAAAGGAAGAAGCCAAATCTGCAATTTGTTGCCCAAAGGACAGAAGTAATCTATGAGAAACAACAGCAGTTCAATTACACTGGAAACTAAACCCTAGTTTCACTATCACCTAACTTCACCGTTAAGGCATACCAGACTACCAATGGCAGAATCTTTTGCTCAAAAACTATTAAAATATCTCACCTGTACTTATCTTGTACTTTCTGCTTTATATCCTGTAGAGAATCTTGGGAAATATCTCGTTCAAGGTAGCCTGAAAGCACCTCTGTGGCATTCTCTAGATCTGCTTGGTTATTCTGCAAGAGGAGGAAAGATATATAGTAAATTTTGGCTTCAAAAGAAAGCTGAAAATCAGAAACACCAGTCAGAAAGGATATATACACCCCTATGTTCACAGCACCACAATTTACCATAGCTAAGATTTGAAAACAGCCTAAGTGCCCGTCAGCAGATGAGTGGATTAAAAAACTGTGGGACATCTACACAATGGAATACTATGCTGCTGTAAAAGACAAAGAACTCTTACCATTCACAACAGCATGGATGGAGCTGGAGAACATTATGCTAAGTGAAATAAGCCAGTTGGAGAAAGATAAATATCACATGACCTCACTCATTTGTGGATTATAATGAACAGCATAAACTGATGAACAAAAATAGATCCAGAGATAGAGAATCGAACAGACTGTCAAACCTCAGAGGGAAAGCAGGAGAGGGTGAGGGTGGTGGTGATTATAAGAGACCAACCAAAGTACTTGTATGCATGCATATAAGCATAACCAATGGACACAGATACTACAGGGGTGAGGGTATGTGCTTGGGCGGGGGAGAGATCAATGTAGGAAACAGGAGACATATGTAATACTTTAAAGAATAAAGAATTAAAGGAAAATAAAGAAATAAAGAAAGAAAACTGAAAGATAAACCATCTCAGCTGCTTCCTTGCCTATTGACTGCTTTCAACACAGATTCCATAATTTTCACAAGTGATTTTAACTGCACCTGTAAAGGTCTTTATTGTTTTTACCTCTAACAATTTGTTCTATCTTTTCAAAGACAATTGGTTAAATGTTAAAATAACTAAAGATTTACCCATTACCTCTGAAAGAATATTAAGGATGATTTGAAATTACTTAAAAAAGTCTCTAGGAATCTTCCAGTTCTGAGAACTGCTATTTGCTAAAACTAAAAGGGAAACTTGAGGAATAAAAAGAAACCCATTCTCGCTTATGTCTGGCTGCACCTACTTCTTATAAGAGAATGCTGTATGGAAGATTAAAATCTTATTATCTCTTACTACTATGGCTAGTTCTATACATTTATCCATCTAAAGACTCATCTGCTAGTCAATGTTACTGTCTAGTCATCTATCAACACTAATGTTTCTTGCATCAATTTTAAATGAACATATCTTCTTGAAAATCTTTTACTGTTTAAAGCCTCCTTAGGTCATTACATAATCATCATATTAACTTCTAATACCACATATTAGTTTTGCCCGAAAAAAGACTTTTATTGAGAACTACGACATACCAGGTGCTATATAAGTAATCTACATGGGTTGTCTCACTTAAACCTTATATATAACATCTTAGAAAAGTATTCACTCCCTTTTAAAACAAATATAGAAGAGGTTAAGTAATCTGCTCCAAGTCAACAGAGCTAATAAGTAATGAAGTCAAGATTCAAGTTCAGGGCTGACTCCAGAGTCTGCACAATTAATAGCCAGGTGGCTAACACACATCAATTTGCATGTAGTTTAGGACAAGAAATTTAAATTTTTTTGTGCTTTCCCAATAAGTACATTTTTAATCTACACTTTTTGAGCAGATAGGAATCTTTAAAACTTTCTATATCTTTATCTATGAAAGGCCAAATAGTCCTATGACACAAGGTCCTTTTCTCACTCAGTAACTATTCTTACCTCAAAAATAATGGACTGGTTATTCTTTTTGAGGTAGAAAGCGAAGACGTAAGTGTACATGAGTGTGGCACGACACTGGCAGAGGACATCGACTGCCTTCTTCAGGAACTGCACCTCAATCCAGGACATGTTGTGCTGTTGCATCTCTTCCATTTTCTGCTTCACCTGAGCATACAGTTTGTGCTCAAAGCGTAGACTCTGCATGTGGTTCATATAGCGATTACAGTAGAACAGGTACCTCTGCAGAGCTGCCCTAGATCGCTGGCGCACAAGAAAAATTAAGGTTACATAATTATGACAAATGTATTATATATAAACAAAAGCTGATAATCACATTTGCTGATGAAAGTATAGGATTTTGGCTAAAATTAGGAAAACAGGCATTTACTGCTAGCTTTGCTCTGAATGTCTCATAGGTGTACTTTCTAATATGGCAGCCACTAGAAACATGTGACTATTTAAATTAAAATTAAAAATTCAGTTCTTTAGTACTCAATAGCCACACATGGTCAGTGGCTACTGGATTGGACAGTGTTAAGAAAGCACATTTTCGTCATTACAGAAAGTTCTATGGAATATCACCGTTTTACAGTGCAATAAAGCAAGAAACATCAATATTTTGAAGTAGAAAACAGAGAGGCATCCCTGGCCAAGTAGCTCAATTGGTAAGTGACATCCCTATCCGCAAAAGTTGCGGGTTCCATCTCTGATCAGAATCAACCAATGAATGCATAAATAAGTGGAACAACAAATTGATGTTTTTCTCTTTCTCCCTTCCCCTCTCTTTCTAATATCAATTTTTTTTTTTTTAATTAGAAAACAGAGAAGCAACCAGATACCTTATAGCTCCTGACATACTGTAAAACAGCTAAGAGTTTTAGGTCCTATCCAAACCACCTTCCTCCCCAAACTGAGATTGAATTCAAGTATCTGGAATTAACCATCACCTTCAGGAAGTACAGGGATATAAGAACCTATTAAATGACACGAGAGCTGCAATCAACACAATAGAGAATATGGAAAATTCTATAAAGCAAAATAACTTAGTTCCCCCTACCAATAATGGCAAGGAGAGAGAGAGAAAAAAAAAGAAAAAAAAGAAAAGGAAGGATTTAAAGATTAGAGGAGACTCAAGAGATAGCAATCAAATCCATTTTGTGGATTATGATTTGAAGCAAATATTTAAAAAATTTATGAGATAAATGGGGACATTTGAACACTGGAGAGTTGACGATATTAACAAAGTATTGCTTTCAAACTATATATAGTATAATTTAAACATAATATGTTATAGTCCTATCTAATAAAAGACAAAAAGGGTAATTGACCGTACCTTCGCTATGCTTCCCATTGGCTAATCAGGGCGATATGCAAATTAACCGCCAACTAAGATGGCGGCTGGCAGCCACGCAGCTGAAGCGAGCAGGAAGCCTGCTTGCTCCAGTGATGGAGGAAGCCAAGGTTCCCCACCTGCCGCGGCCCAGCTCTGAGCTCCGTAAGCAACAAAGTTTCAATTATAGAAGCTAAACAAACCCCAGATACCTGCTTTCAGCAGACCATGGCCTCAGAGCTGGGAGTGAGCAGGAGCTGGCTCTCAGCTCCAGTGACGGCAACAAAGTTTCAATTATAGAAGGTAAAAAAACCCCAGAATAAAAAAAAAAAAAAAAAAAGGAGAGGCTGGGAGCTTCAGTTGCCAGCCAGCCTGAAAATGGCCCTCAGCCCCTCACCCAGACTGGCCAGGCACCCCAGTGGGGACCCCCACCCTGAAGGGGGTGTGACCAGCTGCAAACAGCCATCAGCCCCTCACCCAGGCTGGCCAGGCACCCAAGCGGGACCCCCACCCTGATCCGGGACACCCTTCAGGGCAAACCAGCCGGCCCCCTCCCATCCACCAGGCCTCTATCCTATATAGTAAAAGGGTAATATGCAAACTGACCCTAACAGCAGAAAGACTGGGAATGACTGGTCACTATGACACACACTGACCACCAGGGGGCAGACGCTCAATGCAGGAGCTGCCCTCTGGTGGTCAGTGTGCTCCCACATGGGGGAGCTCTGCTCAGCCACAAGCCAGGCTGATGGCTGCCAGTACAGCGGTGGTGGTAGGAGCCTCTCCTGCCTCCTCAGCAGCGCTAAGGATGTCCAACTGCAGCTTAGGTCTGCTCCCTGCTGGCAAGTGGACATCCCCCGAGGGCTGCCGGGCTGCCAGAGGGATGTCTGATTGCCAGCTTAGGCCCAATTTCCTGGGGAGCAGGTCTAAGCCAGCAGGTGGTCATCCCCTGAAGGGTCCCAGACTGCGAGAGGGCACAAGCCGGGCTGAGGTATCCCCCCCCCCCCGCCCCGCAGTGCACAAATTTTTGTGCACCGGGCCTCTAGTATATAATAACTATATATACAAACAATATTGGTATTGCAGTTACAGTAAAAAAAAAATTAAATCAGATGAAGTATTACCAAAGAAACAATGTAATATCTGGTCTAGATTTGCTTTATATTATTTATCACACTGCAAAAATAATTTACATAGGACTCTTCCATTACACTGTACTTCTCCAGAGGAGCCAGAATTTTTAAAAGTAATCTTAGCGTGGCTCAGTGGTTGAGCATTGAACTATGAACCAGGTCATAGTTTGATTCAAATTCAGGGCACATGCCTGGGTTGCAGGCTCGATCCCCCACCCCGGGATTGGGAGGGCATTTAGGAGGCAGCCGATCAATGATTCTCTCTCATCATTGATGTTTCTATCTCTCCTTCTCCTTTCCTCTTTAAAATCAATAAAAATATATTTTAAAATAAATAAAATAAAAATAATCTTATTATGTGTACCTAATATGTAGAAAATGATTATAATAAATGCTTATTAAATGCTACCACTATGAAAGGGTTTCTTACCAGATACATATTTCTTTTCTTTTACCATCACCTTCTCTCTCTTCCTCTCCTCATGCCTTAAAGCTAATTAACAGCACAGACACTACTAACATGATCTAGTATCATACAACACTGAAACATCTCAAAAAAATCTATACAAGCCATGTTACTTCAAGAGTCAGGTAGGTATCAAAAATCAATGCTTACACACTGGAAAATTATGCCAATTACATCCAATCATTATTAAAAGTATTGTTATTATTTATCTTAATAATATAAAAATTACAGCAACTATATGTAAAAATATATACGTGAAAAATAATTTGGCTGGCATTTTATCTCCCCCAAAGCACTAATATTTTCAAGCCTGTCAAATTCCCAAGATGAAACAGAAAACCTAAATTGCCATATTAAAATGTATAGGACTTGACTTAATATGACCAACAATTCTAAAACAGCTTATTAATACAGGTCTAAAATTTAACATGAAAGAAAATCCATACCATCACTGCAAATAAAACCAACTTAAAAAAATATATGCATATTTTTTTTGATTTCAGAGAGAAAGAGAGAGGGAGACAGAAACATCAATGATGAGAGAGAATCATTGATCAGCTGCCTCCTGCACACCCTACAATGCCGCAACCTGGGCATGTGCCCTGACAAGGTATCGTACCATAACCTCCTGGTTCATAGGTCGATGTTCAACCACTGAGCCATGTTGACCAGGCAATAAAACCAACTTTTAAATCAAACAACAGACTCTAGACTGAGAAAACCAATCAGCGACATGAAAATACTTGGGAAAACAAACAAGAAAATCTGAATGCTTAGACCAGGGGCAGGCAAACTCTGTCCTGCAAGACATATCCAGTTGCTATTTTTTTTTTTTTTGTAGGTAAATATATTTTTATTTTTTTACTTTTCAATTACAAGTCACATTCAACATTGTATTAGTTTCAGGTATATAGCATAGTGTTAGATATTTATATAACTTATGAAGTGATCTCCTGGATAAGCCTAGTATCCACTTGCCACCATACATAGGTATTACAATATTGTTGACTATATCCTCTGTACTATAATTTACAACCCTGTGACTCTTTTGTAACTATCAATCTTTACTTTTTAATCCCTTAACAATTTCTTGAAAGAAATGAAGCAACAGTACTTCAGGAATTTTCTAGAATGTTTACCCTTTGTTGGGGTCCAACCCCAGCAGGTGCAGGGATCCCCAAAGGTGTGGACAGAGTCAGTGAAGAAGGAATGACACGGAGACAGCGTTCAGTTGATCAGTAGCCTAGCCAGGATCTCTAGCCAGGATCTCCAGCCAAGTTCTGTCTCTGCTATCTTTGTAAATGAAGTTAAATCTGTGTTCCTGAGACACTTTAAGTTTTTGTCACACACAAAAAATCCTATTTTCTCTATAGTTTTCCTGTACTATTCTATTATGGAATTTGAGAATAACAATTGGCTTAAATTATGAGCTCTTTGTTCTTAATTTTTGATTTACTGATTCACAATACACTTATTCAAATGTAATAAACTATTCAAAACCAGCCACATATAGTAATCTATCAACAGTAAAAATTTTCCCCCCAATTTTTAGAGAGAAGAAGGGAGAGAGAGAGAAAAACATCAATGTGAGAGGGAAATATTGATCAGTTGCCTCCTACATGCCCCCTACTTGGGGACTGAGCCAGCAATCCAGGCATGTGCCATGACTGGGAATCAGACTGGCAACCTTTTGGTACACTGGACAACGCCCAACCAACTGAGCCACACCGGCCAGAGCTATCAACAGTAAATTAATTTTAGCAAACAACATCTTTCAATTAATTTTAACTTGAGCTTCACTGATTTTGGAGTTCTCTTGGATTGGCTGTATAGTTGTATAAAAACATAAGGGTTTACAGCTGGTTTTATGTTTAAACATTATTTAAGTAAAATTATAATGAATATAATCTAAATCAATATTGAAATTTGTAGGTTTTTTCCCCTTTAAAAGGACCACAAATATTGTGAAAGTCTATGAACCACTACTTACCATTTATAAATACAAAGTAGAATTTTCCAGTATCAAAAAACAAAAAGAAGACATAGAAGTTTCACTTCTAATAATATGACAGATTAGGTTACACACACACACACACACACACACACACACACACACACATTTCTGTATTTATGGTTAATTGTAAATAAATTTTAAAAGAATGTTTAAAAAGTAAAACAAGAGCCTGGCCTGTGTGGCTAAGTGGTTGAGCTTCGCTTTATGAACCAGGAGGTCGGGGTTCTAGGTCAGGGCACAAGCCCGAGATAGAGGGGGCATGCAGGAGGCAGCAGATCAATGATTTTCTCTCATTATTCATGTTTCTATCTCTCCTCTTCCCTTCCTCTCTGAAATCAATAAAAATATATTTTTAAAAAGTGAAAGAAGAAGCAACAGGTCATGTTTTGGATTATATCCTTGCAAGGAAAACCATCTGGAAATATTTTGGGGACAACTGGGGAATTTCAATATGGGATGGATGGCATGTAAGGAATTCCAGGAAGTCTACAATTATGATAGAATTACAGGCTGAAAGAAACTCAAAGTGTTGTTGGATCTAAATCTACACCTAAAATGTTTAAATCCCTTCTATAATAGTGGTTGTGTCCCCCATCCTGTGATAAGTAATTCCCCATCTCCTGAGGCAATCCATTCCAAAAGAGCTTCTTAATGAACAATGAAGTTAAAAAAAAAAATAAAAAGAATTAAAAATAAGTGAGACTGCATATAAATAGCAGTAGACTATTGAACAATTACTGTTCTCTAGTCTCCTTGTTGGGGAGGGAAAATCTTGACACCATGACTACTGAAACCTGGAATGTCTAGACTGAAAGAAAGCAGGCACACCTATAAATAGAAATGCTCCTGATATGCATTTTGGATAAGATTCCCTTTCTAAATGTACATAGATACCCAGTATTTACTGGAGTATATTCCCATGAATCTTTCAAAATTGAAAACTGCTGCTAATTTATTCCTTAATAAACATACAATGCACATCCTATTCAACTGTTACCCCAAAATAAAGTGTACTTACCTCCTGTGCGTCTCTTGCTGCCTTTGCGTCATCCTCATTATAGCGGTTACAGTTGTACCTTAAAGTAAGAAGATTCCATAAATAAAAAAGGGAACAGAATTGTAGCCTGGATTTAGAGATTATTTAGAACCAATATTCTGTTTTATACAGGTACAGATAAACTGAGGTGCTAAAATACCCAGGGTTCTATCATTATAATGATAGTTACTACACTGAAAGGCGCTCAGTGTTAAATCTAATCCACACCTAGTGCTTGAATCCTCCTGTAATAGAATATCAGTCCTCTGTCTAGTAATAGGGAATTTCCCACGTTCTGAGGTAGTCCATTCCAAATCAGCTCACCTATAATCATTAGAAAACACTGCCATTCTATAACTTCCATTTACTGACTAAAATTTGACTTCTAACTCAATTTTTGAAGAAAGAAATCATCTCATCTCCTAGGCTGACTATTATTTAGGCCAAATATTCCCAATTTTTCCAGAGTTACTCACCTTCTTCTCTTCTCTTTTATAGACCAATAGTTGATGGACTACAACAGTAATAGATGCTGTTGCTATTTGCTGTACGTGATGTATATGCTATTACAATTTATAAGTGTCACTGAAAACTGAATGATATACAAAGTGAGGAACTGGGGGAAAGAAAAGTCAGTGGAGATGAATAAGGTGGGCACTTCCCTTGTCCTGCTTACTCTCTACCTCTTCTTTTATGGGAGCCTATTTATGAAAGCAGCTGGTATTTATTGAGTGCTTGCAATATACAATACACTTACTAAGAACTTTAAATGTACTATCACATTTAATCCCCTCAACCATCTTATAAAATGTGTATTATTATTATCCTCACTGAGTAGATGAAGAACTAGGTTTTGAGAAGATAGGTAACATACTCTAAGTTGCAAAACTAGTTTCAGAGCTGGGAATTAAACTCATGCTTTGTATGCCAACTGAGGCCCATGCTCTTTACAAGTGAGTACATTGTTCATATGTTGTTGTCATGTCTCCAGAAACTTTTAACAGTGATCTTTGTAAAACTAAAGAATACCTTGTTAAACTAGATCATTATTCTAGCTTGTCAAGTTCTTCAGGATTCTGATGACCTATATATTTAATATCTCTCTTTGATGTTACCCTAAAATGTAAGATTAGTTTAAGAGAATGTCATCAATGAAACTGATCAGAAAAGCAGTATACAGTTTATGTAGAGAAAAAAAACCCACAAAACAAAACAGATGAGGACAAAGCCTTTCAGCAACACAATAAAGCATTCCATTAGGCTTAGAAAGGCACAAATCCATTATCTATACTCCAAGAAATCATTCAATTAAACCCAAATATCCCTCCTTCTCTATATTCACAGCCCAGGCCATAAACTTCTCAGTTTACAATGAAATATCTTACTGAGATCTGTAGAAAACATTCCCTAATCCATCATCCTAATAATACCATTGGATTCTGGGATTTAACAGAAGAGAAAAATTAAAGTTATGTGGCTCATATGTAGTTTGTGGAATCAAAAAATTTGGAAACTTGAATTACATTTTCTCTGCTTCCAGTCTTTGGTATCTCTCTATTTTCCAAAATTACTCAGACCAACAATGACTCACTGAGTTCATCTTCAAGGTTTTAAAATAACCCAGACCAAAATTTACCTAGGTCAGGAGATTTATTAATTTTCCCCTAGCTTGGGTTATAATCTTCTCTTACCAATAATTACTCTACTCAATTTAGTCCAAAGATCACCCCTGCTTGCCCTCTACTGGTCAAATATTAACACATCTTCTTCTTAGAATCTGATAATCCTTAAAATTTTTCCTTTTTTTTTTTTTTTTTAGATATTTATAAGCCTCAATTCATTCTGGTCTTTAATCTGCCAACATTACTAAGGATTTTAAAGCAGAAAAGCAAATAGGAATCATCTACACTTCTAACTTAGAAAACTGATAGTGCTCTTGGAATACTATTTTGAAGATTCTGAGGCATTTTCAGATTCAAACAAGAAAGCAGAGCATGAATCATTTGTAATCCTAGCCACGGGAAAAGGCATTGTCTTAAGTTCAGATCTTTCTCACCTGGACTTGAACCTATAACTTATTCCCCTCCCATCCACCCTCTACAAAGCAGCCACAATCATGAGACAATGTATGTAAGAGAGCCTTCTCATCTAAATAAAAGATCTGATCATGTCACGCCCTTAAAATCCTTCTGATACTGTCCAAACTACATTTCTGACTGATCCAGGCCATTCTTTATTCTTTGGTATCCATTTGTTTTGTACCTTTTTTAGTTTTCAATACAGCTCATTTAAAATTTAAGTTGTGATCAGAGATTACCTTACACACAAAAATACATCTCTTTAATAACTCTTTTTCCACATTCCCTCTCCCCTTCACTAGGCTTTTAAAAATATACTAAATTAGTTTCTGAACATTCTAATCCTAGTTTGCCTTCTTAAAATCCAGAGTACCTGTCTGGCGAAAACCCAAACAACCTTTCATGGCTCTGACGGTAGCAAAATCACTTTCTTTACTTCCAACTAATTTTTAACGGCTTGGAATTAATTTCAGACAAGTAATCCCTCATACTGTTCCTCTAGCTAATGAAACTAATGAAAGTTCCAATAAAATGAAAAGAGAAGACTTGCCTTTGCCTGAAGTTCATATCTTTGTCATCTGGACTTGAACCTACAATTTATTCCCATCCACCCTCTATAAAGCAGCCACAATCATGAGACAATGTAAGAAAGAACGTAACAGAGAGCCTTCTCATCTAAATAACAGACCCGATCATGTCACACCCCTAAAATCCTTCTGATAGTGTCCAAACTACTTTAGGTCCCAGTCTATGTTCTCTTTTCCTATTCCCCACAACTTATGAGGGGCCACAAACTCAAGGCCAATAGGGGGTAGGCAGGTAACTCAAATCAATGAAACAGGTCATTTGAATATTGTAACACTCAAATATTTTCACTTTTACCAAGAGATGTATTAACTCCTATTTTTCTCAAAATTGAAGGCATTTTCAGTCTAACTTGCATTTCTCCAAATGAATAAGAAATATGCATGGGCCCTAGCTGGCTTGGCTCAGTGGATAGAGCGTCAGCCTGTGGACTCGATCCCCAGTAGGGGGCGTGTAGGAGGCAGTCGATAAATGATTCACATCACTGATGTTCCTCTCTCTCTTCCCCTCTCCCTTCCTCTCTCATATCAATAAAAATATATTTAAAAAATTAATATGCATGGAGCAGGTATATATTTCTACTGAAATGAGATTGTGCCATCATGATAAATGCAAATGGCATTAAGCTTCAGTTTTGGGGCAACAAAACTGAAAAGGAAAGGCTAGCCACCAATTCCAGGTGATTGCTGCCAAGCAGAAATGCAGGTCTGTGCCTATGTTTCAAAAAGAAGCTAAAAATCTGAAATGCATTGGGTAATTTTCCAAATTTGGGACAAACTTTTTGAGAGGGTAAGTAAAGCACACCTGCATGCTGGGTTTTGCCATCAGTCTCTTAGTTTTCTTCAACTGTTGTCTAGAGAGAGACATATCAGACAATGCAACTGTTCTCTGAATAAATTATGCATGTTCACATCATTCTACCTTTGTTCATGCTGTTCCTTTGCCCTGAATATTTTCCTAACACTATTTCAACCAAATGAACTTAGTCCTCCTTAAAATTAATCTCAATTATTACCTCTTCTGTGAAATATGCCTAATTAATTCCTCTCTCTGGATATCTTGAATATACTTCTAACACTAATCACATACTGTATTCATTTAGCTAGCTCCCAAGTTAGATAGTAATTTCCATGAGGTAGAAACCTTATTCATAATATGCAGCATTTATCACATACTTATGTGAACATATCCTTCCCTTCATTTCCCCAACCTACCAGGCAGATCCATGTGGTTCCCAAGGGCCAAGACACACCCAGCAAAACTCTGCTTTACAGTTCTGGTTACGACAGACCATGTGATTACAACCGCCATCCTTCTCAATTGTGACATGGCATTTGGGACATTCCTATGAAGAGAAACTATAAAGTTGGTGTCAATGCTACACTAGGTTGTATTACTACCACTGAGAAGCAGCCCGTTCTAGATTTGGTTTATTTTTGATATCACATTTACTGTGATTAATACATGTAAAGCACTTAGAACAGCGTGGAATAATAAACACTACTGAAAATGAGCTGTTATCATTATTACTGGCTGTTAAGATGCAAAAGAATTTAAGGATTTTAGTGGGGTTGGCGGACAAAAATATTTTTAAAGTTCTTTTAGCCATAGACAATAATAATAGTTTTATGGAAGATAAAAGTTGTTTATGTAAACATAGTTCTCTCTCTGGTATCATCTAAAAATAATGATTGAGTACTTCTTGTATCTCACATTGTTCTCAGTGTTTTATATGCATTAATTTATAATCCTTATAGTAGTGCTATTCTTATTTCCATTTTTCAGATGAATAAACTAAGGGAGAGAAAACAAAGAAACTAGACCAAGGTCACAAAGGTAGCAAATGATAAGAGTAAGGATTCACACTCAAGCAATTTGGTCTCAATAGTCAGGCAGGTGGAACTGGTAAATTCTTTTTGTGGCTACTGAGGTTCCCTACTTTCTTCTGCCAAATATGCTTGCTTTAAATTCTTCTCATTGTGGTCCATTTACAAATGCACTACAGAGGTCATGACTTTTCCTCCTTGAGTCTGTATCATGTTCTTCTTTGTTAGTGAGCTAAAGTTATTAACCTGCAGGCCTACTGTTTTTCTCTTTTAAAAAAATCTAGACAAATCAAACACCCAGAATTTAAAAGAAAATAAGATATAAAGCTTGTATTTTTGCTGTATTTATTTGTTTGATGTCCATAACTACCACAAGGGGGAAGTAGTACTCATTATATTATTTATACAATTCAGCCTTTGTGAAACAGACTATGCCCATAAACTACAGTTATTTGAAATATTTCAATATGGCAATTTTTAATCATACATTTAAACCAGTTAACTACCATGCATCCAAAATGGAAACCATCCCCACATGCCACGATATTTTGAATTTAATTTTAAAAAATCAATTTATAATGAATATTATAAAAACAAATATATTACTCACAATTCGGGTGTTCCTGAATATTTTTAGCTGAAAATTTTCGCGAAAAATGATTTTAAAATTGGTCAGGGCTGCCACTTAGGGAAAACATTTTTTTTTATAGATGCACGTGGTGTGTGGGGAAGGTCCACTGCTTGCGTCTACAGATGCTTATGGTGTACAATGTGTTAAATTAAATTTTTGAAATCACACACATAAGAAATTTTATATTTTCTCAAAGAAGCAAGTTCTAGGCCTAAAATATGTCTCTCTCTAATATCTTTGTTATAATTAACCAAATAGTATGAAGTTCTCAATATGTTAGGATACCATCATCAATCTGCATATCTGTTTAAAGAGCTGATAATAAATAAAAGTTTCTGAAACTTCTCAAGAAAAAAAACCTCTTCACTTTCACCTCAAAACTACCAAGTCAAGCCCAGTGCAGCTCAGTGGTTGAGCATCAACCTATGAACCAGGAAGTTACGGTTCCATTCCAGATGAGGGCACATGCCTGGGTTTTGGGCTTGATACTTAGGAGGGGGGCGTGCAGAAGGCAGCTGATCAATGATTCTCTCTCATCACTGATGTTTTTATCTCGTTCTCCCTCTTCATTTCTCTTAGAAATCAATAAAAATATATTAAAAAACAAACGAAAACCTACCAAGTAGGTAACTTTCTTATTACAAACTAGAGGCCCGGTGCAAAAATTCATGCACTCAGGGGTGTGTGTGGGTCCCCCTCAGCCCGGCCTGCACCCTCTCCCAGTCCGGGAGCTCTCAGACATCCTTAGTGCTGCCACGGAGGCAGGAGAGGCTGAGTGGCACTCCCCCTTGTGGGAGCGCACTGACCACCAGGGGGCAGCTCCTGTGTTGAGTGTCTGTCCCCTAGTGGTCAGTGCATGTCATAGTGACCTGTCATTCTGCCGTTTGGTCGATTTGCATATTAGCCTTTTATTATATAGGATTACTATTCTTCCTCAATAATCTATCTTCTAATCAGTCAAACATATTCAAACATATAATCCCTCCTTTAAACATTTTGGGGGTTTAGAATATTTGTGATTTCTCTAGATGGTGAAAGTGGGTGAGAGTTTAAGCAAACTATTTAATGAAAATATAGCTGCCCTATTCCAAACACTAGTTTTACAGACAATATTTAAGGATTCTGGGGCTTTAATGAACATATCTGGTGGAGAAATCCTCAATTTTCAAAAAATGAGGCAAGCTAGGAAATTTTTTAAAATAACAAAAGTAACCATACTTCCTGACACTAGAGTAAGGTTTTTAGCAATGCACTCATGAAAACCATTATACTTATCATGATGGTTAGCACAAAAATATTTCAACCATACTGTCCTCAAAGATGTGGGCACTGTACCGTGTGAAAGAACTTAGTTTCACTGCTAATGCTTTCTGAGAGACAGAAATAAATATGCATTTTTAATTTTGGGGGGTAGAGCAGGGTACTAATGTTATAAAATCATGTGTTAGCCTTCATCATTTAAGCATTCCTTACTCTTATTGTCGTGTGATTGGATGATGAAACTGTACAAAGCTATAACTAACACAGGCTAAACAACTCAGTATTATTTAAAGCAGTGGTCACCAACCTTTCGGACCTCACGGACCACCAGTAGTCCGCGGACCACCGATTGGCGACCACTGATTTAAAGCATCATCTTCACATTTGAAAGGCAATTCTAAAAAAGAATAGCCCATTAATAAACCTTATCATTCATCACCCAAGTCACTTCCTGTTTGGATGGGATATAAGATTGAATTTTTTTCTATTCAGAGATTGGCTGGTACACAGTTGGGGTTCAAATGCTTGTTCATTACTTAGCGCTAGGAAACAAGGGTGTTCAAGATTACTTTTATTTGTGATTTTTGTCTAGAAGTGGTTCAGGGTTATAAAAAGACTGAATTTTGAAACTAGTATCCTGAGCAATGCACTTAAAAATAAAACAACACACACACACACACATATACAAATCAAGGGATACCCATATTACACCTAAACTTGTATTTCTTAAGAGTCCGGTCTTGTAATAAATCATATTATATAAGTTTAACGTGTTAAAAATGTTACATAATAAAAAGTTATCCAGTTACTCTGAATGCTGTTCTTAAAAAAAAAAAAAATAATCCCTTAAGTTAAACCCTCGGGATTTTTAAAGGCAGAAATGCAAATTAGCCTAATAAAACCAAGCTAGGTGGAGTAAACTCTACAATACATTTGTATACTAAAAGGAAGCCAAGAACAATATGAAAAAGCATTATAGAAATGTCAGGGTAGAAAAATTATCAGCCCTTTCTTCTATAGGAAACTAATGTTTTTCCAATAAAAGAAAAAATTTAAAGTGGAGTCCGGTGCATATTACACTATAGCATTCAATACAATAAACTCAAAACTAAAATAAAGAAAAAATTAATAGGCAATCATTCTAGATAAAGCAAAAACAAAAAACCTTAATCGAGAAAAAGATAAAACAAGGCCCTTAACCAGGTAAACTTGCTGTTTTTTGCTAATGCTGATGCACCTGTCCTTATCAGTTCATTACCACAAGTTTACTGAAGGAAAATACCAACCTTTGTGTTGGCTGCAATCCAATTAGAGGTTTCACTGTCATCATCACACTTTTTAATCCACTTCTTCAACCACTGTTGGGGGAAAAAACACACAACAACAACTATTAGGTTACAACAAAAGACTTAAGAGTAAAAATAGTAAATTGCTTCAACACAAATTCAGTTAAACTTAAATATAAAACCCAAAGGACAAGATTACTACTGGGTTTACTTCCTTTTAAATCAAGGAAATCCTACAGTTTTTATATCAAGTATATAAAAATTGAACCAAAGGAGGACTTTCTCTGGCTGAATAGAATGGAGAGTTTGATTAGAATTTCAGCTCCAAGGTGTGCCATTCCCCTTAGCCAAATACAAAGCCTACTGAGGAAGGTGCCTTAACTATCATTATCCTGATAATATCAGGAGTTGACTTATTCCTAAGGAACACTCTGAATGCTTGTAATGATCACCTGAAATAAAAAGGGCAAAATAAAATCTTTTATCTATTACTGGATAAATAACAAAATTGTGGGCTGTAGTTTTCAATAAACAAGTCTTAAAAGTGCTCTATGTTATTTAAAAATGAAAATGCCAAACTTACCTTACATTTAACAGGATCATGCCAATTTTCTCCACAGTTAAAACTGTTAAGTGACATAAGAGTTAAAAGAATTAAGTCCCACCTACTGTCAAGTATGTAAGCAAACAAAACACTTCATGCCCTAAAGTTCCTCAATATTTTTACCAGTTTCCAGTGACTGGTAAATAGAAAGGCAGGAACCATGTCTATTTTATTCTAAATAAATTATTTAGAATCTAGTATTAGGATCAGAGTGTTGTGTGTATATAAGCATGAAGACATGCTTAGATGATAGTTTCATAACAAATCACTATCTAAACAGCTATGAAAATGTTAAAAAAATCAGATTATTTGAATTTTTCTGATAGTTTTTAAGATGGATCCTTGGTACAGTCATTCTCTAATTGAAGCCAAATTGAAATAATTTTCATTAATTTCAACCTAAATGTCAACCATGCTTCAATAGCATATATTGTCTTATTTAACACCCCAAATAAAGAATAAAAGTCTGGCTTTGTAGGGGAATATGTAACTTAGTACTAATGCACTGTAAGCAATATATAGGAAGCAAACAGGCCACTGTTTGCATGATCCAAATGAACATCAGTCCAGTAGAGATAAATTGTACCAAATAAGGTGTAAAATAAAAGAGTGTGACTAAATATTCTCTAAGAATATACTAATTATTAATGCCTTTTGTTTTCTAGGCAAATGGTATATACATTTGGAAAAAAGTATAAATTAACAATAAACACAAATTTTATGAAAATATAACCAGGGAATGGCTGATAAATTAGCTAATAAAGTAATTTAGGGAAGCCAAAAATCCTTTGCAAATAAGAGAAACAAAGTGCTATTCATTTAACTGAAGTTAAGATAATGGTTATATCTAGAAAAGAAGATGAGGAATGGGACGGAGAAGGGAACCAAAGGGGTTCAAATGTGTCTGTCATATTTTCTTTGTTTCTTTTTTCTTTTTTAAAAAATATTTTATTGATTTTTTACAGAGAGGAAGGGAGAGAGATAGAGAGTTAGAAACATCGATCAGCTGCCCCCTTCACACCCCCCACTGGGGATGTGCCTGCAACCAAGGCACATGCCCTTGACCGGAATCGAACCTGGGACCCTCCAGTCCGCAGGCTGACGCTCCATCCACCGAGCCAAACCGGCCAGGGCATATTTTATTTCTTATTAAAAACAAAATACTGATTTTGATTAAGCTGGGTTGTAGCTACATAAGTATTCATTGCTCTTATTCTCTATACTTTAGTCTGTATTCAAGATATGTCACACTAAAATATATATTTGAAAGTAGGTATGGAATCAGAATCCACCCCATCTACCTGGTAAACTATAAACAATCTATCTATCATCTATCTATCTATCTATCTATCTATCTATCTATCTATCTATCTATCTATCTATCATCTATAAAAAGAAGTAATATGCAAATGAGGTCAGGACTCTGTAATGGACACGACCAGCTCAGGAAGAGGGGCTGGGGCAGCGCTGAGCCAGAGAGAACAACACACAGTCGCGGCCCTGAGTCTGAGATCAACACAGAGGGGCGCCTGCTCCGAGCCTCCGACATGACTGGGGGCAGGCTCCCAGTGGACACACACACACACACACACACACACACACAGCGCCTGCTCCGAGCCTCCGCCGCCAGACTGCGGCTTAGGCCCGCTCCCCATAGGTGGGCCATCCCCTGAGGGCTCCCAGACTGTGAGAGGGTTCAGGCTGGGCTGAGGGACCCCCACCCCTTAGTACACAAATTTTATGCACGGGCCTTTAGTAATATATACCTAATAATTACCGAAACAGCATATATTTTACACCTATTTAATGCCTGTAAGTTTACCTGCTATTTTTGGAAATATTTAATATTAGTGATGTATAAGTAATTCTATAGATATTTGGACAAAAAAAAAAAAGAAAAATGAAAAAAAAGAATGGTCTGCAACACCAATAAAGTATCTATTTTCTAGGTCTAGAGTCCCTTGACTTCTCATTCCTAACAGATCCACAAAGGAATGGAAGGTCATCTTAGTTCCCTAATATGTGGTATAACTGTAAATTCCCTGGTAAGTTGAATCTAGAATTCAAAGGCTGAAGGGTATGCAATAGAACTCCAAGAACCCAGGTTATGAAGAAAGCTGGGGCCAGAGGAGCCATAGGAAAACTCTTAGTTAAAAAGCACATCTAATCAACCATGTTCTACCTTTCCAAATTTACCTGAACATTTTCTTCTTAGGAGTAATTAAACTTGTCAGAGCAAAGGAGATTTTTTAAAAAGTCCAGACTGTGTATTTTATTCCTAAGAGAGAACTTTAAAACAGCAAGAGCCATAAAGGAACCAAACATAATTTGACCAAATAAGCAATCAGAAATTAGAATAACTGAATTCTTGTCCCAGGTCTATAAGCTTGCTCCCATTTAAGTACCATTGGAACACACAAGAAAATGAGATTACAACTGCAGTTTACTATCAGAAAATATGTATAAAACTTAGATCAATAAGGAAATAGGGAAGTTATCTAGGAGTGACTTTTAAATCTAATTGTTATTTAAAAGAAATACACACTATTTTAAACCAATAATACCTACTTTCCTCCTTCCTCAGGTAAAATTTTATTCTCTATTTTACAACTAAGAATAAATAGAAAAGCTATGTGCACTATTCCAATTTAAGAAATCACTTGCTTACCAAAACTGGCGCCCACATTTACAGCGAACAGGCTTAGCATCAGGATATTGGACTTTAACAACATGGTGGCAATCTGGGGCAGGACACCACTTTAACAGTCTATTGCACTGAAACACAAGTTAGAAAATAAAAAATGACAAATTAAATTCTGATGCAAGATTTGCCAGCACACCAAACAATTATTTGTATTAGCTCCCTAGCATAAGGGACAAAGAGGCTGATGGTGACATAAGCACATAAAAACCTGCCACCAATACTCAGTCTTCTACAGCAATGCTTTTTGGATGCACTGTTTTTCTTTTTTTTTTACTTACTAGATTACCAGTTTATTATAAAAGTATACAACTTAGTGAGGAAAGAATCTACACAAATAAAAGGGAAAATTGCGAAACAGCAATTTGGCTATCAATCCCCAGAAGGAAAGTAGGGGAGGGCAGGGGTAAGGGGAAGAGATCAACCGAAGGACTTGTATACATGTATATAAGCCAAACCAATGGACATGGACAACAGGGGGATGGGATCGTGAGTGTGCGGGGCGGGGCGGGGGGGGGGGGGGGGGGGGAGAAGGTTGGGGGTTAATGGGGGGGATGAGGACACATTTGTAATACCTTAACTAATAATAATAAATTTAAAAAAGGAAAATTGCAAATTGACCATCCCTCCGCTATGCCCACCAGCCAATCAGGGTGAGTATGCAAATTAACCCAACAAAGATGGCGGTTAATTTGCATACGCAGGCGCAGCGGGCGACTGAAGACTGAAGAGGCTTGGCTTCTCTGCTGTGGCTGCAGAGGAGAAGCCAAGCCTCGCTACGGCCAGAGCGGAGAAGCCAAGCCTCGCATTTGCTGGACCAAAGGCCTGGGTTCTGGGTGCCGGAGGAAAATGGTGCTAACAGCCAGGGAAAGGAAGGCCTATTGCGCAAATCTTCTAGGCCTCTAGTTTTATTATAAAAGCTGAAGATCTATGAAGAGATATCTACTTATTGATTTGTCACAATCCTGAGATAAATGTCACATGATCTCACTCATTTGTGGAATACAATGAACAACATAAACTGATGAAAAACATAGATCCAGAGACATAGAAGCATTGAACAGACTGTCCAACCTATGAAGAAAGGAGGGGGGTGAGGGGTAAGAGATAGATCAAAGGACTTGTATGCAAGCATATGAGCATAACTGAAAGACACAGACAGTAGGGGGGGTGAGGGCATGTGCTGGGGGGTGGGAGTGGCCCGGGAGAGGTCAATGGGGTAGGAAAAGGAGATTGATGTAATATTTTAAACAATAAAGAATTTAAATTAAAAAAAAACAAACACCTATATGCATATATGTGTAACCCACGGACACAGACAATAGCATGGTGAAGGCCTGGGGTGGGGCAGGATTTGGGTAGAGGGGGGCAATGGAGGAGACATCTATAATACTCTCAACAATCAAGATTTTTAAAAAAATTAATATTTCTATTATAAAAAAATTACTCTAATTAAAAGAGAGAAACTGTTAAGAGAAATCACTTACCTCGACAAAGCTATTTGTTATTAAGTGTTGATACTTTAATTTAACCTTTGAATCTGTGATCAGGCGCCTGAAAGCAAGAATAAAAAGTTTATTAGGGAGTTTCAGCCAAGAGTATTTTCTGCATTTATAAAATAAAATTTCAATGCTAAGGCTATAAACTGCCCTAACTTGAAAATTTTAAAATGCACATAGATTATCAACAAATATAACTGCAGTAATCAAAACAATATTTTCAAAGTTTCTGTAGTTTTATTTTGATAGATGTTTTCCCCATATTTCTTACACTCTAAATATTCTATTTTTACCCAGTTTGTATTATGATCTAATGACTTACCAACTACTGCCAAATTTAGGCCCCTTTCAGGGTCTTCTGAATGACATCTTGCCTTAAACCCTAATTTCTCAGCCACCTTTCCTCAGATCCCCTCTCCAAAATCAGTGTGTGAAATATGACAAGAATATTAAGAAATTGATCCAGGTTTTGCTATAGTTTTGGGTACCTTCTTCTTTTGAGATCTCTTGGTAATTTACCAGAAATACTGACTGCAACCTGGCTTCTCTCATCCACCAAGAACACTATAATTCACAACAACTTCTAGAAATCACAGGAACCCATGAAAGTGAAGAACCCTAAAGCTTAAGTTTCATTAGTTTTAATAGTAAAAACTCTTTTAAGTGTGTTGTAAGAAAAAGGTGTTGCTGTGCCCCTCCACCCTGGGTGCACACATGATGGAGCCCTGCGGGGCTAGCCCCTTAGTGACCAGGCCTCCGGATCCAGACCCCTTTGGCAACCCAGAGCCCCCCAACACAGGGAAGTGCATTTTAAAGAAATTAAAGAAGGGACTGCACGATAGTGGTGGATTAAGTGGAAGCTACAAAGATATTCCCCAAGGACAAAACTGGAATTTCAACTAAAATATAGAAAAATCAACCTCAATAACCAACTGAAGACTAGCTGGAGAGAACACTCATAACCAAGGACTTAAAGAGGAGGCTATAACAAGACAGGTAGGAAATGCTGAGGCACAAGAGGGCACAGAAACAAACCCAAAGAGTCTGCAGCTGAAATTTGGGAGGGATATTTTAGCAGTGGGGATTCCCTGTGAGAAATCTGAGGTTTAAACACCCAGCTAGCCTTCGCAACCCAGAATACAAGAACTGAGCAAGGTGGCCACATAACATCTGGCGGTGAAAAGCACTGGGGGTTCTGTCCTGCAGGGAGAGATGGGAAACGTAGGCACCTCCTTAAAGGGCCAATGCACTCAATATGGTTTTCAGTCACTCACCTTGGGCTCTGGCAGAGGGAGGGCAGAGTGGACTAGAGCTGCGTGAGAAGAGTCTGGGATTGGTGGCTCTGGAGAGAGAGCTGAGAAGAGAGCCACCTGGAACCCCTGTGCTGAGGCATTCTCCCATGCTGCAGAAAGCACTATTCTTAGGAAAGCTTTTCCCATCAATGCAGCTTCGGGGGTTGGAGGGATGGGGAGAGAAACTCCCCCAACTATTAGAAACCCTTTGCCTACCATGTGAAGTTTACGCCCTGCTGAGTTCTGCAGCCTGAGGCTCACTAAGTGACTGAGACTAACAATCAACCGGCAGGAAGAGGCAGATCTCTGAGGGTTTGGAGTCTTTCTGTGCCTGACCTGCTTCTGGGCCTGAGGCTAAAGAGAGCAGACCTTGGTGAGCAGCTTGGTACTTTCCACATGCATCCAGCCCCAGCAGAGGGAGCCACAAGCTGTGAATCACTGATAGCTCCACACAGAGTACTCAGGGCCAGTCACAAACAGCATCTGACATTGACCTGAAACAAAGACACTCCAGAGGCCCCCAAAGCAATAATAAACCCAGTGGACAGTTTCAGACAACAACAGAACAGGATCAAATAGGCTTCACAAGCACTATATCCACAGGGAGATATTGGCAGACTGCAAGCCCTAGTGAGGTGAATTCAGCTTCTTGTGATCAGCACCTGCACAGCAGCCTGCACACTGTGTTGGGTGGGGAATGAGCCAGACTGATCATTAAGCCCACGCACAAGCAAGCCAATAGCAATCAAGACTCAATTACAACAGGGAAGGCCAATACAACATGCACAAAGGACATTATTACAGCATCCAGGTCTAGTGATCAGGGAGACTGCGCCTTTGGGTCACACAGATCACCTACTACCTAAGACAGTGATGGCGAACCTTTTGAGCTCGGCGTGTCAGCATTTTGAAAAACCCTAACTTAACTCTGGTGCCGTGTCACATATAGAAATTTTTTGATCTTTGCAACCATAGTAAAACAAAGATTTATATTTTTGATATTTATTTTATATATTTAAATGCCATTTAACAAAGAAAAATCAACCAAAAAAAATGAGTTCGCATGTCACCTCTGACATGCGTGTCATAGGTTCGCCATCACTGACCTAAGGCCACCCTAGCAAGATTGGGGGTTGTAAGCAGATCTACTTAAAATATGTAGAAATAAACCCAAACAGGCAGCCAAAATTTGGAGACAAAGAAATAAGCCCTAAATTAAGGAACTAGAAAATTCTCCAGAGACGAACTAAATGAATTGGAGATTAGCAATTTATCAGATACAGAGTTCAGAGTAATGATCATAAGGATGCTCAACAGCATGAAAAAAGACATAAAAACTACGAAAAACAACCAGTCAGAAATGAAGAATGACATAGCAGAAATAAAGAATACATGAATAGGAAAAAACAGCAAATTAGAGGAAGCTGAGGATCCCATCACTGAATTAGAAGACAGGGTAGAAAAAAATCACTCACGCAAAGAAACAAAAAGAAAAAACAATTAAAGAACAGGAGGATAGTTTAAGAGAGCTGTGGGACAGAATGAAATGTAACAGTATCAGCATCATACAGTACATTCAACAAAATCCATCAACCATTTTTGATAAAAACTCTCAGCAAAGTGGGAATAAAGGGATATTTCAATATGATGAAGGTCATATATGACAAACCTAAAGCCAACATCATACTAAATAGGCAAAACTAAAACCATTTACCCTAAGAACAGGAAAAAGACAGGAATGTCCGCCTTCACTACTCTTATTCAACATAGTACTAGAAGTGTCTGACACAGTGATCAGACAAGAAGAAGAAACAGAAGGTATGCAAATTGCAAAGGAGGAAGTAAAGCTCTCATTATTCACAGATGACATGATATTATACATAGAAAACCCTATAGCCTGTCCAGCATGGCTCAGTGGTTGAACATCAACCTATGAACCAGGAAGTCCTAGTTCAATTCCTGGTCAGGGCATATGCCTGGGTTGTGGGCTCAATCACCAGATATCATATTATACTACAAAGCCACTGCACTCGAAATAGCCTGGAAGTGGCATAAGAACAGACATATGGACCAATGGAACACAACAGAGAACCCAGAAATCGACCCAAGCCATGCTCAATTAATATTTGACAAAGGAGGCAAGAGCACACAATGGAGTCAAGACAGTCTCTTCAATAAAATAATGAGTCAAGACAGTTTTTTCAACTAAATAATACAAAAAAATGAAACTAGACCACCAACTTACACCATGCACAAGAATAAACTCAAATGGATAAAAGACTTAAATGTAAGATGTGAAACCATAAAAACCCTAGAAGAAACAATAAGCAGCAAAATCTCATACATTTCTCGTAGCAATATGTGTCCTCCTGGGGCAGAGAAAATAAACAAATGGGACTATATCAAAATAAAAAGCTTCTGCACCACAAAAGGAACTCATACAACTTAACAAAAGGAAGACAACCAATTAAAAATGAGCAAAGGACCTAAATAGGCACTTCTCCAAAGTGGATATACAGATGGCCAAGAGATATATGAAAAAATGCTCAAAGTCACTGATCATCAGAGAGATGCAATTTAAAACGACAATGAAATATCACCTCACACCTGTCAGAATGGCTATCATCAAAAAACGACAAGTGTTGGCGAGGTTGTGGAGAAAAGAGAACCCCCTTACACTGCTGGTGGGAGTGCAGCTACTATGGAAAACAGTATGGAGTTTCCTAAAGAAATTAAAAAATGTAACTCCCATTGGACTCAGTGATCCCACTTGTAGGAATATATCCTAAGAGACCCAAACAAAACAATCAGAAAGAAAGTATGCATTCCTATGTTCCGAGCAGCACAATTTACAACAGCTAAGATCTGCAAACAGCCCAAGTGCCCATCAGTAGATGAGTGGATAAAAAAAGCCATGGTACCATTTATACCATGGAATACTATGCAGCAGTAAAAAAAGAAGTACCTCTTATCTTTGAGACAGCATGGAGACACACCTGGAGAGTATTATGCTAAGTAAAATAAGCCAGTCAGGGAAAGATAAGTATCATAGGATTGCACTCATATGTGGAATCTAATGAACAAAGTAACTGATGAACAAAATAGATCCAGAGACATAGAAACATGGAACAGACTTTCAAATCTCAGAGGGAAGGTGGGGGTGGATGGTAGGATATCAACAAAAGAACTTGTATGCATATATGCATAACCCATGGACATGGACACCGACAATAGCAGTGGTCGCCAACTGGTGGTCCGTGAGGTCCAAAAGGTTGGCAACTGCTGGACAATAGGGTCGTGGAGGCCTGGGGTGAGGGATAAGGGATCAGTGGGAGAAAAAAGGGGACATATGTAATATTTTCAATAATAAAGATTAAATAAAATAACATATTCTCTGCCCAGCTGGTGTTGCTCAGTGGGTAATCATCAACCTATGAACCAGGAGGTCATGGTTCAATTTCTGGTCAGGGTACATGCCCGGTTTGTGGGCTTGATCCTCAGTGGGGGGTGTGCAAGAGGCAGCAGCTGATTAATGATACTCTCTCATCATTGCTGTTTCTCTCTCCCTCTCCCTTCCTCTCTGAAATCAATAAAAAAAAATATTAAAAAGTAAAAAAAAAATATTCTGATTTAGATAACTAGCCCTTTGAATTCTACAGTTATTTATTTAAAAGAAAATGGAAGATACATATCAATAGTATACAACTAAATAAAGGGAAAAGTAAAAATCCCTCTTTCTAATCCCCAAACCCCAGCTGATATC